CGCTGCCCTCTTGTGGTCGTGATGGAAAGCGCGCACGTCACTGGGAGACTCACAGTGGGGAGCTCCTGTCCCCAGAGCCCAGAGTCACAAGGGTTTTAGGGAACATTTCAACTGTCCCAGACCTAAAAGTCAAACAACAACAACAACAAAGATCAAAGAAAGCTAGCTAAATAGCATTTCGTTATACCATATACCTGTATATGAGTATAATGACAATAAACTTGAACTTGAACTTGAAATTGAAAATGCAAATAAGCATGTCATTGCACTTGTGCATCTGAAAGATGAACTGAATGGAGCTGGTATTTATTTAACCATCTGGCCTGTTTAGTAGTTTGCAGTTCATCGATTCAGGATTTCACCCAGCTGTTTCTGCCCAAAAACCAGGGTATGGGCTTCAGGACGGGAGGTGCTTCTTTACACAGAGAGTGGTGGGAGTGTGGAACAAGCTGCCCCGCCAGGTGGTTGAAGACGATACTCTGGCTTCTCTCAAGACACAGCTGGATGAGACGAGGTAGTGCAGCACAGCCTGCGGCCTGGAGGACTCGAACCTGCAACCTCCCACCCCAGAGGTGCAGAGCCCGGAGCCCCGACCACTGTTCCACACTGCCCTGCCCGGGAGGAGTCTGCAAGTTTCCTCCCCCACACACAGGTTTCCGGCTGGGGGAGAGCAGGTGTCTCTGAATACCCCATAGAGGGGTGTGGGGGTCCGCACTGGGGCACTTCAATACACAGCGACCTGCAGGACACTGCTCTGCCGTGTTGCAGACCCACGAGCAAGACATCAGGAATTTTTAGTTTTGCTGTACTTTTGCAGGATGTAATGTGGAAAACCAACTGAAATCCATCTGTTAGGAGAAATGGGTAGATATCACATTCACAAAACAAAATGGTCTAATGTTACTGCCTCCTTTAATGCTTCTGAGGAGGAATTGCAGTTTTACTTAAACTCCGTTAAAGACAGAAAACACAACTGATGCATGTAAAAAATAACTTATTTTCTTCATTTATCGTTTTGGGATATCTTTTCCCTTTTTGTGTTATTTGATGTTCAATAAAAGTTTGAAAAACGTGTTAATTTTGTGACTTACGTCTCTATGGGCGACATTTCACACGTGACGAGACGCGAACCGAGACACCAGGGACTCGGATCAGAGAGCAGCCGCATCGCCCCAGTCTGGCAGAACCGGATGTGTCGTCACGGCGAGCCGGGTGTGACGTCACGGAAGCCCGGCCAATGGGGAGGCGGGGGGGGGTCCGGCGGTCGGTCAGTAAGTCGTTTTGGTGGGATTTTCTTCCAGGGTTTCCCCTGAAATTTCCACAGGCGGGTCCCACTGCATCACCGGCGACGGGAAGGTGGATCGTGGAAGTCTGTTAATTTGTATTGAAATAAAGTTTTCTTCCACTTTTTGCAAATGGTGTTCTACCTGTTTTGAGTAAATCGCTACGTCATGCAGTTAAATAATAATAATAATAAT